TGCTTCTGCACTTCGCTGTTAATTGCGAAGGAGTCCATGTGGCCAACACGTACAGGTGCTCTACGTATCTGAGGGACAGGGTGATTCAATAGATCAGAGTGATGGAGAAAGTATCTTTTCTTGAAGCGAAACGCCGATACTTAGTGAAGAACCCTGTAGGTCGTTAGTGTTCATTTTGTAGTAATCTGGCCAAGACGGTAAAAGCAACAGCGATTTGTCAGACTTCACCTGCTACCTCCCCAGTTGCTCATTTCTGTTGGCACGTGTCTCCAGTGAACTTCCCTGAGGAGACATCGCCTTTATAAGGTGGGAAGATAATTCCCGCTAAATACAATGTTCCCAAAATTCCCAAGAAAACCACACATGAGAAGTCGGACCTAGAATCCACTTCTCAACCCTGCATGAAGCCGGATGTCACTCGGCATTCTGGCCTAGACAAACTTGAAAATGATAGTTCCTCCAAACTTCGACCACCTACCCCGACTCCTGAGACTCGCTCTTAGACCGACGAGCAGTGCTCAGGAGAAATCTGCCACAGAGGAAACTTCAGCCGAGGTGGACAGTCGCCCATTCGGGCAACAGAGGCATAAATGGAAAAGGGGGAAGAAATAATCCCCTTAGAAGCAAAGGAATTTAACGTCTAAAAGTTATGGCTCCTCTCGCGGAACGTAAATGGCTTTCGCACTCGTTTAGATGAATTAAAGCGGATCGTCTCTATAGACCCGTTATTTGCCTGCAGGAAACATCTTCCTGGGCATTCCGTCTCTTCGTGGCTCTTGATGCTATATGCAAGGCATTGATAATGCCCTCCGGGCACATGGCGGGGTGTCTCCCTGGTGTCCAAAGAAATAGACGTACGAACCTCTCTCCAGACATCTTGCGTTCGTGTGAACTTCCGCACTATATCGATTACTATTTGCAACATCTATATCCCGCCTGTCCAAGTCGTGTCGCAAGAGGAACTTGAAGATATTTTATATCAATTGTCGCTTCTTTTCTTATTGTAGGAACTTAAATGCTCACAATCCCGCCTGGGGTGGCGCAAGGACATGCTCGAGAAGCAATGCTCTTGAAAATATTGGGAAAACTTAATTCTGAATACTGACGAAAGCACACATTTTCCCGTGGGTTCAAACACTTTTTCGTCCGTCGATCTGGCTCTCTAGTCCATCTCTCCCTGCCATCTTTGAGTGGATGGACCTTCGCGGCCTGCATGGCAGTGACCACTTCCCCATTCTGGTCAATTGCGATATTCGCGATTTAAACGTCGCTCGTCCTTCTCGCTAGCTAATCCAGAGAGTTCAGTGGGGAAACATTCGAGAAAGAAATACGGATATTGGAAACCTGCCCAAAATATATCGATGCTATGGTTGCCCATTTTACTGATGCCATTCTTCATGTGGCCTCAATTGCCATCCCGAAGTCGTTGGTTCATCCATGGCATCTTCCCGTGTCATGGTGGAATGCCAACTGTGACATCGCGGTGTGGGATCGGAAACGGGCATTGACAAAGCTTAGTAGGTTCCCAATCATGAATAATCTGATCAATCATGAATAATCTGATCACGAGCCAGAGCTAGAGTGAGCATACGGGAAAGTTAGGCCTCGTCCTGGAGAGTTTATATTTCATCACTCTTGCCGTACGCCCCCTAAAATAGTGTCGAAAAGTTGGAGAAATCGGCTTCTTCAACTTGAGAGCAACTTCGTGCCCCGTCTGTCTCAGGACGTCTGGTAAATGGAGAGCCGCTGTGTATCACCATTGAACCTCCTTCGTGCTCTTTCTGGAAGATGATGGGGCGCAGACGAGTGTGTCTTTTGCACCTTTATAGGAATATCATCCGCCCGATCTTAGATTATGGGTGTATTGTTTTCCGGTCATCGAATACCATGCACAACGCCGTATACGTATACGGTTCAGCGGAAGCGTCTGCCGCACGAGTCGCATTGAATGCCCCTTAGCCGAGGCTGGTGACCATCCCACAACCAAAAGCGAGATATTGCAATCAGCTCATGGCGCACAAGTATCAGCAAGAAACACTCGTTCGCGCCAAGCACTTATTCACACTCACATCGAACTAACTCAGACCATCGTTACCCCATCCTTCGGGTATCCGTCTCTACACACTCTTGCAGAATCTCCATATAATATTCCCCGACCTTGTGGAACCCGAAATCGTGTTCCTCCTTGAAAGCTTGTACAGCCTAGAATAGACCTGAGATTATCACACTTCCCCAAATCCTCAACTCCCTCCCCTTCATTTCTAGCGGAATTCCAGGAGACGAAATCCTCCTGGCTATAAATTCATATACACTGATGGTTGCTCTTAAAATGGTAATGAATGGTGTGCCTTCTACTTACACAGTGCCACGAGGAGTCTTCAATTAGACTCTTCGTGCAACGCGTATACTGCAGAAAAATATGTAGGCACTCAAGTTCGCTGATTCGACATTAAAAGAAGCTGTGATTTGCAGTGATTCCAAGCTTGCTCCAATCTATCTCTTGCATCATTTCTTGTGACCCTCTGACAATAATCATCCAACAACATATCCATAACTTACTGTTGCGACGTTATAATCTGTTTTTATAGTTGGAACCTGGCACGGTGAGATAATAGGAAACGAAATTACTGACCAGGCAGCAAAGCTCGCCACAAAGAAAACTGAGGTAGACATCCTTACAGTCCCAACAAACGATACCAAACTGTATATCAAACGTATTCTCAGTGCATAGAAGTGACAGAACTGAGACTTTAAACTATCGAGGATTCCGTGGTCTTAGTATTCATCTCGTGAGTGATGGCGCGAGAAGATAATTCTGACACGGCTTCAGATCAATCACTGCCATTTCTCCCACGGACATCTCCGCGGTGACCCACCCCCCTAATTGCGATAGTTGGGAGTCGGATTTTTCCGTGGAACATGACCTTCGGCACTGGTCTAAGGTAAGAGATAGCCGGCGAAGGCATCACCTTGTTAGCTCTAGCGCAGGTACTTGGAAATGACCAATCTTCTCTCTGCAAGCTTTTTAGCTTCTTACGAAAGTGACATTTACAGCGTTATCTGAGAGAAGAAGATTATAGAAATTATTTGACTTATAATTGGAGATTTTAATGTGCTTATCTGGCTCTTTTCTTCCTATTCTTTTTTTTAAATAATTCAACACGTTTATTTTCAGTTTTACTCGCATTTTACCTTGCATTAAAAACGTTTTAGTCTGGCACTGCTGCAGTGAATTTTGCTCTTAAAAAATTGACACGAGCACCAATGAAGCTGTTGAAGCGCCTGAAACCTTAATCATCACTAAATTTAATTTCAAATTTTGATTTTCTTGAATAATTCAAAATTCCCCTTTCAAATATTTATAAATAATTGTTTTAATGCTCTATTAACATTTACATGCAGCTAATATTAATAAACTTGTGTAATAAATGATTGAGTGTTTGGCTAGCGACTGGCTGGAACGTACTTTAACACCATTATTATTCTTTCTAAACATGCAATAACATTTTTAACAATACAATAAAACTTCACTAGTCAATATTTTCAGTGCAACAATATCCACGACCTTTTTAAAAGAAGAAAGTAAGCTAGAATATTATAAAGAACTGTTTGCTACACTATCACTATTGAATGCACCACCCTTTATAATCATAGGTTTGATATGTACTTCATCTACCATTAGTATGACACCTTTATCATTCTCCGGTGTGGAGAAATTATTACTTTTGAAGCCTAAATAAATTGTATAACCATAGTTTTAACCATTGCTCATGTATCTGTAGCAAGAGGTGAAATGCTATGTCCTAATGCGTAGAAAACAAGGGCTGTATTTCCTTACTTTAGTTCGCAAGACCTCCACTTGCTCTCTAATAAATCAGTGTTTTTTGAAATGAACGTTCCGTGTTCCACATCCACAGATTTCAAGCGTTCTAATATCATTAGCTGACTCATTATCCTTTGATTCGTCATTACTTTTAAAATTAATAAACTCCACTATTTTCAAAACAGTGTTTAAGTGCATCAGTGCTGTGAACATTATTAGGAACACTAGAACCATTGAAAGAATTTACTTGTAACATCCTTCGTAACACACCACAGAGAAGGAAAAAACTGTAACACGCGCTAATGTGCATGCAAATACATGCGGACATGTGCCGACCACTATTTAGTTGCGTTGGCCCTTTCTGTCCGCCATATTGTAAAATTCCGACCGTAGCGCTGTGGCCTTGTACTCTAGGAAGTATTGGGTTAGGTCCGTTATATGCGAAATACATAATTTATCTTTTGATCATTATTACTTTGTAACATTCTGTTTTTCGCAGAGTAAAAATAATATTTAATTAATATTTAATATTAAGTGTTGCATTACCACCTCTAATGTAGAGGTTAGTCAAGGTCTGGAGGTCCGGGGTTCGATTTCCCGCTGATCCTGGGAAATTTTCATGTTAGGATTGGGTCTGGATCAGGGTGCACGCAGCCTCGCGAGTTCAAATTGAGGAACTACCAAAATATGGCGTCACCAGTCTAGTAAATGGGGAGGGAGGTTCACGGGGATTATTGCGTTGACGAGGGCAAGCATCTTTGTTATCAGAAAGGGTATTCTACTCGATCGGCCTTGGCTCATGAGTGGCTCGTGCCAAAAATTATAAATTGCATTTATACTACTCTATTGGACTTGTTTAAATTCTTGAATTGTGAAGAACTTGAAGATTGAATAGATTGTAATAGTTTGTGATAGTGGCTTCATGAAGCTGAATTCTAGTCATTCAAGTGATATTATTCTCTTAATAATATTCCTTAGAATACTGTTTAACTCATTTTAAAAATGACTGAATAATTTTCATTTATTCCCAGTTTCTAAAAATTGTTTACATAGTATATTGGCTTCAATCAGAGATTCTAAAATCGCACATTCAAAAGTTGTTCGTACCCTATTGTACTAACTTCTGACATTAGGCACAAGATAATATTATATTTATTATTTATTGTTGCTCAATTAGATGATAGCAATGAAGTTCCCAATCAGTCAGGCACTGACAGTCCAGCAAGGCCAGCAGGAGAACCTACTTCACGCCCACCCACTGCACCTCAGCAACATGCGGAGGCCAGTAGTAGTGGCACCAGCACTGGTGGTGGAACTGAAGTAGGCAGTGCCTGTGCAACTGGTGTGGGTACCAGCCGGGTTGCTTCGTCTGTGATGGGCTTCGGACGTGGTCCTGCTCGCAGTGTACCGCCCTTGTCCCGACAACAGCAGCAGAACCAGATTTTATTGGTGAGTGATTTCCATTGTCACTGGTTTTGGTGATCTAGAGCCAGGGCTCTGAAATTTAGTGCCCTGTGCTCTACTTTGATGCACGTGCATGCTAACTTCACTGCTGTCTTGCAACTTTGGACCTACCAGAGCAAAACCTGGGATCCGTATTATACAACCAGGGTTTGCTCTGGTGCTCTTGAACTTGCCATGGGAAGTAAAGTATGCTAGTCAAATTTGTTTGTGGGTTGGGGTATACATTTTTATATTATTTTTTTCATACTAAGAAACTTCAACTTTAACCTAACAATAAGCGACCATGGTGATAAAAACCTTGCGAATCTGTAATACCTGTATTATATTCGTAGACATCAGGCATCCGCAATATTTTTAAACGGTTTGCTTGTAAATAGAGAGACTCAAAAGGTATTGTAAGTGAAAAGCAACATCAAAAGAATTAATATAATTTCTGATATTTTGTTACTGGGGCTAAGGGGCAATAAGGACTCTGGGTTACCCAGCATGTGTGATAAAATGAACAATCTTAATAGAAAGATGCTATTTAAATTGTTTTTCTTCTCTTCGCAAAAAAGCCTAGTCGTTACAAACTATGCCACACTCTCCGCTAGATATGGAACAGAGATATAGGAGAAGATTTCGCGGTTTACAACTCGATATGTTTTAAATAATGAGGACAGGAAGAAAATCTGATGAAAGGGAATGGAATGTTCGTAGGTGGTATTGAATGAAAGGCATAATTATCATAATCAACAACAGGTTTAAAAATGATTTTAGTGTCCTAGTGAGGACTGAAGAAGTATTCTTTCATGTGTGTTCCTACTGGTGCCATCTTCTTGTTGGTTTTCATTTCTGTCCCTCTTGCCATCTCATCTCTGATATATCATTTAAAGCCACACGTTATTGTTTGTCCGTTCTAATCAATTTCCTCTAGTATTATTTTATTCTTCTGTTAAGTTCTCTGTTTTTATTTTTTTTCTGGTTTTGTTCCTTATTGTTATTCCTAAACCAACCCCGACAAACTTCTAACGAACTATTCCGATTTCCGTAGCTCCCATAATTAACATTTCTGCACCAAATTTAAACATAATTTTGATGTCATGTTGAAAACTATCATAGTTTCTTTCCTTATACGTCCAAAATGTCTTCTATTTTTCTTTTATATTATCTTTTCTTCTATATCTTTTTCATATAATGAGATTGAATTTCTGTACCTAGAGTTAAGGGAGTCTTTTCATAAAAATGCATTAGTTTCTTGGCTCCTTTTCTTCTTCATCCTCCTCCTCCTGCTCCTCATCCTACTACTACTACTACTACTACTACTACTACTACTACTACTACTACTACTACTACTACCTCCTCTCCTCCTCCTACTCCTACTACTACTACTACTACGTTGCCATGTTCTGTTAAAAATTGTGTTGTATGGTGGTGTAAGTGGCCGTGTTTTTGTGTCACTCAAGGCTGGATCTGTTTGATCAAACGTAGTGTCTATGAAGCTTTGAGCGTGTTGTCCCATTCGTTCTGCCATTTTCTGAAGTATTGTTCCAGGGACTCTTATGTTATTCCTTCCTCTCGTGCTTCATGCAATACCGTTCTTTCCTGGGCCAGAATGTGTATTGGCATACGTCCTGCTAGTACCAATGTTGCTTGTACCGAAACTGTTCTGTATGCACATGCAATTCGCAGCGCCATTTTCCTTTGCTTCCTGATGAGTTTTGTTTTATTATATTTACTCTGTGCTGCCCATATAGGTGCAGCAATAAAGTAATACTGTGCATTACAGAGCTCTGTATTATTCTCTTTCCTTGGGGGCGCCCTATATTTGGCATTAGTCTGCTGAGTGCGCCAATTGTCCTTCCTGCCTTTTCAGTTACCATAAGGTGTCTCTCGTCTATTACCAACCCTAGATAATTAACTGCTTTTGCCGTTTTCACCACAAGGCCTTGAATTTTGAATAGAATAGGTTTGGGTCTTCCTGGCAAAAGAACGGCCTCGGTTTTTTGGTGTGTCAGGGTAAGCGAGTTTTGTCTCATCCACGCGTTCACACCGCAGGGTTGCGTTTCCATTCTACGTGCGTTCTGTCTTTACAGTGACTACGATTGCTAGGTCATCGGCGAACGCGATAAGTGTTGTTCCTTGGGAGTTGTTTGTCGGAGGATTCCATCATATAGTGGGACCAGCATATATTCAATTTTGCATGAACATTTGACTGTCAAAAATATTTGTTCCCGTTGGATCCCACGCAATTTTTCAATATCTCAAAAAAAGGCTCGTGTCGATTGGTCGAAAGAAATGCTCAAAAAATACGACGCGGTGCTTCGAAACACTTCTATGACATCGTGACAGGTGATGAATTGTGGATTTACGCGTATGAACCCGAAAGTAAACAGTAGTCAACTGTATGGGTGTTTCATCATGAGCAAAATCCAACAAAATTGTTCGCGCACGAAGCACTTCCAAACAGATGACAGCCTGCTTTTTCGGACAAACTGGACATGTCGCA